CATCACCCAGTATAGCTCAATGGGTCAATGAGGTACGCAAACCATCGCACCACGTTAAGGTCCAGTCTTGTTGCGACGGACATTAACTATGAGGTAGCTTAAAGATATGGCAAGTGTCACCCGTTGGCTAATCTGATAAGTTGTGCGGACATCAAGAAAACGCAGTGTACAGCCGCGCCCCAGGAGAAAAGGTAATTTGCGACGGCTTTGCGGATAGCTGCTCATTTCGAGAGGAGTCTTGTTCGAGGCGCCTATGACTCAAGAAGCTAGCAAACAAGACAGCGACTGGGGGCCAAAAGGATTAAGCACGCCTTGTTATCAGGGTGACCGGCTCGAACCCGCGTAACTGCGGGTGACCTAGCGGTATACTCACTCCACGTGTGACTGTTGGTGGACACGTGACAGCGAGGCGTCTGTGTGGTGCGTCAGCGTACTGCTGCCTAACAATGCATCGGATGGTACGTCCGATCTGGGGGTACAATCGTAGTGTGCCACCAGTATCCGTTGAAACCTGTTGCATGCAATCATTGAGGAATCACAACAATTCATTTGCGTCTGTATAACAAGCATCTTCTGCCAAAACCAAGCGCATCTCTCTGAGCAGGGAATTTTGGCTTGCGATGGGCGGTGGCAAACTACTTGGAAGAGCGACGCTCGTTGGTCACGTGTGGCGTTGGTACTCTGTGTCAACTGGGACGCTGCCTGTGACATGTATACTCTTCCCCTTCGTGGTTCCTCTCCTATACTCGAAAGATGCTGAGACAGATTGTGTCTGACCCATAGCCACGGACCTGCGATATGGATGTCACTAGGCGTAGCGCACTGGAGGTATGCCATCCAGAGCATCCAGTTGACGTTTAGTACCATGGAGGCGAGTTAATCAATGACACGGTTATCAGAGATACAGCCACTTATCTAGACGATTGATAAGCTATCAGAAAGCGCGCTTGTTAACTGAAAGAGCCAGGGGAAACTCAACCTAATCTCAAAATATCATGCGTTTTGAAAGCGCGATACCCGTGCAAGCGGAAAGCATTCTGCCCCTCTCCTTTAAGCAGCAGCTGTGAGAGACCGAATATCTGATCTTGGATGCGACTCAGTTACACCACCAGCTACTTGCTATCACCTCAACCGAATGACTACCGAAAACATGCGGCCCAGGGCCAAATACAAATGCCTACTCAGCTGTCCGGGGTAGTAGGTCTGCAAGTATAAAGCGCTTCCCTTGAAACACAAGTTCGGGAAATCTAGTAGGGCGAAAATGTAGTCAGCCATCAGCCCATAGGCTGTAAACAAGCTGTTTCGTTAGCCGATGCAGCGTATAGCTGAAATCTGAAAAGCAAGTCACGATTGCATTTCAACCGAAATAGTGCCAAAGTGCAGAATTCCATGGAGAGCGACATTGGTTCAACTGCATTTGTTTGCATAGTATCACAGTATCAGTTTACGTACTGGGGAACCACTAGCACCCCTCCATCCGAAATCCGGAAGACCATGAGACTGAGTTTATTCGACCATGGCTATTTTCGAACCATGTGCGAGGCTGGCTTTCGTGCTATAACGCCACCTTCAGAGTCGCTCATATCAGAACGGTTTCTTGACACAGCAGAAATGGGGGGCTGAAATGAGTGATTCATTCCCTAAAACAAGACCGTCGTAGTCTATTGCAGAGCTCACGTACTGGTCGCATTTCACCAGAGGTTATCAGCAGAAGCAGTATCAGGTATTGCGTCGTGTGGCAAATCCAACTGCCTGCATGGACATTGGTTATTTAAGCAATCTTTGAAGCTTATCGGTATTCGACAACATTCCAGCTCAGTGAACATGATACCCGCAAAGATTTTGAAGCTAAATTGCGTGCTATCTTGAAGAAGGACCGCGAAGTTTGATGGTCTTTTATGCATCGGAAATGGAAACAGCCGCTAGTATTGGTATGGTAGCCTTTTCTGTCTGATAAATGGGCAGCAGTATACATGGTGTTACCGAAGCTATATGTGATGAGAACAAAAAGTATACCCGCTGTCTGTCAAAACGTTTGGACACTGTGCTTAACAACTTGAAAGCATCTGATTCGGCTGGAACTACCAGATGCCTTGTCAGCTAGTAAGCGTCTTGCCCAAGGGGCCGGCCCCCTAGGATCCGCTAAGGCAGAAGTCGAACGTGAGATCGGACTGTTAAGATTGAAGATCGCGAGACCAGATAGACTTAGCCCAGCCACTTTCAAATCCAAGGAACTTGTGCTTGCAGATAATGAACAAGAGTTAGTGCTGAAGCTCTGAGAGTAAGAGATTGTCCCAGCCGACTAGAACAACGCAATTAGTCTGTAATTGTAAAGGGAATACACGCAAGGAATGCCTTTAAGTTGCATGTCATTGTGGTTCATCATAGACCGAACGACACACTCGAAAGCCAGAATCGGAAACAGTTAACCGGGTTTCGTTAAAATCAAAGCTAGACTGGTCACATCTTCACTTTACTTCGGTCACCGAAAAATCGTTACGTGTAGTGATGACCTCCCAGTCGTGTACCTCTGCATCAAGTCTTCGATTCGCTGGATCGATGTGCTCTTTGGAAATATCTGATAAAGGATGATGTCCAAGAGTGCTTTGTGTTCGTGATGAGACCAAGATGCCGGCTGTCGCGCTTGTGTTAACCTCTCTACTGACGAATAGATTGGGAACTGCGTCCACCGGAAGTGACATGGATAGTATGAAGTTGCTTTCAAGAGATCAACGAGGTTGCTTTATTCTGCGATAGCTCACATTAAAATGACTGTCTTCAAACAATTTCTTGATGCTCTGGTCGTCGCAAGCACAATAAGTTGGTTGTTGGAACCCTGCCGTACTTATTGGCAACCCACCGCAGCCGTGTTGCTAAACCTTGTAGCGGTTGTGCTTACACTATAGTTTGTCTTTCTCACCAGTTTCATCATCGACCATTTTGTACCATTTGTTTTAATTCACAAATCTTGATTACACATCTTCAACCCGCCCGCATCGTGCTGGTTTGGTGCGCTTCCTTCTGTGCTTGTGTTGTGGCCACGTTTTTCCAGCAGCCGGATACCTAGTTACGAATCACTAGTCGGCATCGAACTTAACTTAAGGAAGGACTGTAACGCAAGTGTGCGTGCGTGTTCCTCTATTGTGAATTTTTGCCTAAGATTGTCTTTTATCTCTGGACGCGAACCTTTTAGATATTGGCCCACTACAACCACAACCGTGTCTTTGATTCGGTAAACCCATGTGCTCCTTTGGACTGTGCACAGAAAAGGTTTGCTCGATAAATAAGTAACTATCCCAAACGCGTTGTATACGCATAATTCGGGCAGTGATAGGGCTCTATACAAGCTGTTACCGCCCTTCAATATTTCCAACGGTGTGAAATCTTGCCTACTGTCATCCATTTTAACTCCGCCATTGACGAAACGATAGAAACTGGATTCATTGGGCAGGGCTTGAAAGGTGTGGAGCTGTCCCTGGTGATCGACATCGTGATTTGGTGTACGTCGGCGAAATTGTGTTTATATGTGACAGCTGCCAAACATGAGAAGCAGTACTGGACAAATTATCTCTGGTTGTCAATCCCTTCGGGCCATGCATTGCATCCACGAAATGCTAGGTGCTCCAAAATTGGTAGGGACTTTTAGTATTGATCGCCCAGATGTTGTCCAGAAATCCAAGTTTTTATGCAATCATATCAACACCCGTTGGATCGAAGATAAATTAACCAACCGCATAGAAAATGCTCGATACGCTTTTGTTAATCTCCGTTGCTTGTGGCGCCGGTGCGACATCACTCGATCTGAAAGGCAGAGTGCACAACGCAGCTATGCCTTCAACCCTACCGTACGGCTACGAAACCTCACCCGTCAGGACGACAGATAAAAGTGGATGGTAAAATTCAGTCATTGCTGTCTTCACAGTTTAGCTCACATTCGAGAGGAACACTGCATGAACAGTGAGCGTGTTCAGTATCGCATATTTGGTGCACGATGAGCGTGAACCGCTCAGCACCATTATATTATGCATGCGGCTCCGATGGCTGAGCCAAGTGTTACGCATGTCAGCATACTGACTCTCGTGACGCGGATTATTGGAACGCGACAGGAGTGTGGATGGAAGAAGAGCAATGACTGGGTCAAGAAGACCGTTACTTCGAAGTTGACGTCGGTTCATGTTTGCTGACTGCCGGGTTTGGGGCTGAAGGACGATGAGCGTGTTTGGTTGAATAGACTTGTTCGTATGGCGAAGAGCCGGCCTCAATGGCGTTTGCGTTGTCAGTTTCTCCGTCTCTGCGTTACCCGCTTATCATTCCCTTCCAATCATGAACTCACAGCCGATGCGTGATATGATACTAAGCATCAGGTTACATTTTTCGCTTTTTCTATTGTATTCAGTAAAGTTTTGTATATCCCTTTTTCATGTTTTATCTGCTTGTATTAAGGTATAATGGCTGAGGTTGACTGGCTGAGGAGGTTGCCTGACAGCACACACACGTGCGATTGGGATCTTTGTTATGTCATTGTCCCGCTTCTGTGACGGAAACCAACCTGGCGGTAGAGTACACGGCTGTCAAATTCATCCGATTCAATGCGTTAATACGATGGTGGGTATCGATTCATTCGTTTCTGCTCTTTTTGTTTTAAACTCATTTTAACAGTTTTCCTTCCACCTTTTACGCGCTTACCATTAGTGGTCCGTACGCTTTCGCGCAGTAAATGCCTGGGTTAAGCAGCATCGGCCCAATTAGCTGAATTTCTGCACCGGTTTCGCTCATCTTGCATTGGCTGGATTATCCGGTGGCATGCAATGCGTTCTCCTCAGTTGACAGCTGTGCGGCAGCGAATTTTGCATGAGAGGAGTTATCCTACTGAGCTGGTTCCATTTGGCTAGCTGAGTTTAATCGAGCCATGTTTTTGCATAGTTTATCGCTGCTCTTATTTGCTTCTCCAACTGGGGCCACTTTTGTTTTCCATTTCTTTTATCTACTCCCTCTTTCAGTCCGATACGTTGCTAAGTGCCTCAGAATCTGACAACGATTGTGTCCTCCTCCTTCCTAACCCACCGAATGATTGGTTTCTCATCGGCATCCACCTTATCACTGCTTTGTTAGAGGCAAACAAGTCCACTGAGATAACGGGATCGACAACTTTGGCAGCTTGGATTAGTCCGAATCGACAGAGCGGGCCTGATCCCCAGTTGTTCTCCACCTACGTCTTTCCGTAAGATTGCGTGTTTCCTCATGTCACATCTGATTATCCGATCACCATCGGTTTCAGTAACCTACTCGATGTTTGGTATTAATTTAGAAGGAATATCTGTGTTCCCTACCACATGTTTCCCCTTTACCGGAATTCTCTTCCGGTTTCATCCATGTCTGACACCAATTTTAGTTTGCACTATGTCAGAATTGTCTTCTAATCATGAATTCGACTTTAAATCAAATCGCCCATTGGCACAATACTTTATGCAACAGCCATACGCGGACGGACTCCCATCGTCCTCTCAGTCATTCAGTACATTCGTTCAGCGCTATTCCAGTGCCCCACGATTGTTACATAGAATTCCCATAAGTAAATTCGTCATAATGATAATTATTTGCAGAGGGAAATGAAATAAACGAAGCAATTCTAACCCGACGGTAGTTTGAAATAAATAAGAGTCGAGTTGAAGAATTATGTCAGAGTAAGCCAAACAACCAGCGCAATGATTTAGTTGCCACCGGAATTTTGGCATTGCGCCACCCATGACGGAGCACAACGCGTGTTCGAAAGACTAGTGCGCAAATTACTTCAAATGATCATGTACAGCGTTACAGCCACCTCGGATCAACACCTGTGTTCTCCACAGAACGGAACGTTTTTTTGTCGCATCTGTCACGGATTTTGTAATTGCCTTTTGACCACGCACGTTATGCTGGCGTTTACCGGTACACTGGAGTATCTTGTCCGGTTTAGGGTCACTGACCACTCACTTTTGTAACCAAAAGTGAGTACCTAACGGAAGGCGGATGAACAACCTTGTTGACCACCGGCTTCTCTGTGGACTGCTACTGAACACCAAGAAGGCGAATAAGCTACCCTGATGTCAACGGTCTTCGTTAATCGTCCCGCTGCCTTGCGGGTCAGGTCTTTATGACCAAAGGCTCGGGGTGGGGTCCCTTAAGCCAACCCAGTTCCTCGGTCTGGGCAACCGGGAAGATCTCTGCTCGCACAACACATTAACCTCGTAAACTTTCTAAACCCTTACACTGTCTGCCTGTTTCCCCACTTTTAACCTTGTTGTTGTTAACTATGCGTTGTGGCACTGTCAATAGTATATTGGTCAAGTGTTGAACAATAATAATAATAATAATAATAATAATAATAATAATAAGTATCCGCTTCGCAAATACACTTACCCGTCTGGTCCCCTTAGTTGTGAGCACTCGATAAGCGCAATCAGGTCTGAAGTGGCCATTCCACCTGGATCACGCCACGAAGAGCTTTACTGATTGCTAACTTGAAAATGAAACCAAGCACGATCGCGTACCACACTACATCATCTGAGCGGGGAACCATAATTTCAACGCACTAATTTGTCCGTCTCCTTATTAACTTTTCAATTGAAGATCAAATGCGAGTCAGTTGTTTAACCATCTTCCTGTCGCTGGGATAACTGGTTTCACTCGGTGATCGTCGGTCGGTGGTCGAAATGACTAGCCTCCTGCCCTGTAATCCGGAGGTCACCGGTTCGAATCCGCGCAGATGTAGGAGGGATCTCACAGTATACCCAGCCCACAAGCGTGATGCTCGCGCGGCAGCGAAGCATCGGTACCTTTTGCCGGCGTACTGTTGATGCCATCACTGGGGGGATCTGTACTGGCCCATATTCTGGGGGTTTTGCCATTCTGCTTGTTAATCCCCCACATTTTGATGACCAATCTGAATTTGAACCAGTCACCTTGGTAACGGATAAATAACTTGGAAAGACTGGTATTCATCGAGTTGATGGTTAAAGTCAACTGAATAGGCCCACATGGCGCTCGTCACTGTTTTCGTCCTGCCACCACACTGCCAGGTCTGGCAGTGCTCAGAAATTTTTTCAGTCAGTGTCATGAGGGTTCTTCCGATATATCTGGCCCGACCTGAACAAGTGAAGGAGTATATACAAACAGAAGTACTTGACCGAAGAAGTCTGTCCTTAAGTTGATGTCTCACGATTGTTGTTATAGTAGAGCTTAGCCTAGGCTTGCTGCGCAGTAGTTATGATTAAAGGCATCGGAATCTTCTAAGCGTTCCCTGCGCTATTTTACCCCCTTTGAATGGTAACAATAGACAAACCAATTTCTTTTCAACTGAATCTGTTTTAGCTCTCGCTTTTTGGCACTCCATTATTTCTCTTAACAAACTCTATCGGATAACCGTTTCTCTCGAAAAGCACACTTACGATCTTCAATTCGTCCTCACTACAAATGCTTCTGGCCCTTTCGGCTAAACATGTATTATCGAGTCCCACTTTTGATTTATCCGGACGAAGCTGAAAAAATCTGTATATTGTCCATTTCACGTGGCTTTTCTGCGCACCCTCCATCGGATCTACTCATCTGGTATTCTGCTAATCTGGATGTCTAGGAAGGACGTCGTACCATTGCGTTCATATGACAGGGTAAACTTGGCATTGTTGTGTATTGTGTTAAAATGGGATACAATTTGCTTTGTGCAATAGTGACTGTCCGTCGCACAAAATGTATCATACACATATCGCCCGTAGTAGGGTCAACCGCTGATGACTCCGCTACAATAATCGACTGAGACAGCTACTAATGTTGTGTACGAGCAACATACAGTTTCAGTATGCAGACAAAAGGATGGAGTGGCGGTGGACTCACCAATAGGACCGCTGTTGCGGATGTGTCCACGAGTCATTGGCTGTTGATCCTACCACGGGCGATACGTGGATGATACATTTTGTGTGACGGACAGTCACTGTTGCACAGAGCAAATTTTATCCCATTTTAACTCAGTGCACCACAGTGCCAACTTAACCTTCTGATCTGAACGCAATGGTACGAAGTCCTTTCTAGAGGTCCAGATTAGCAGGCTGGACCTTACCGTGGTGCAGTGATCTGCGTGCCTCAGAGATCCATTGAGCTATGCTGGGTGGTGCTTTTTTTGCACCTTCAGAGCCACTCATACCAGATTGGTCAATGGTTAGAGGCTAGACAAACTCAGCCTCCTGGTCCTCCAGGTTGGGTGTTGGAATGGGAGTGGCTCCTCATTTCATAAAACGGGCTCTGTAGTCCAGTGCCAAAACCCGCTGCCTTGCGGTAAGGTTTTTGTACCAAAGGCTTTGGTTGAGAACCCTAATCGTTCTCCTGTCTAGGCCTGAGCAACCTGACAGTATTCTGCCCGCACAATACAATGAACCCTTTATTAGACAACTGATGCTCTGGCCGTCGCAGCGGATAATAAACGGCGCACTATCTGCTGCATCGAGCATGGTGAATAGGGGTATGGATGCTACTGCTCAGACCTTCCCGTCTTCTTATCCCCCTTCTTGCGCTTCTTCATCCTTATCATCTCGCTCCAAATTTATTTTTATACCTCCAATTTTCAATCCCTTAGTTCTTGGCCCTCCCCATCTTGCTTCAACAGCTGCTTGTCTTCTAGTTTCAAACCACACACAGTCGCAGGGCGTCGCTCCAATCCAGGCGACAAGTCCAAGCGGACGTCAGTTCATCCGTTTCCCTTTGGAGTCCGCGCGTCTCGCTAAGACTGGCGTGCCTCAACTTGCGCACTCTGCTGCAGATTGGCCAACAGGCAGCATTTGCCCGCACACGAGACCCTATCGATCGACATTTGCTGTTTATCAGAAATCCGCCTGCAAGATTCGAGTTCCGTCCTTACCCTGAGATCCCCCACATGCGACACTGGCGGCACATTCTCATTGCGCCTGTCTGGCGATGATGCAGCTTCAAGTGCCGGTCAAGCTGGCCTCGGCATTGTTTTGAGTCCCCGGGCTGAAGCTGCCCTGATTGATTGAATCCCAGTAAACAGTCGGATGTGCGCCGTTAGATTAGCTGGTTCGTTCCGTGCTTCTAAGTCGCGCGGGGATAAACGGTGCCTGTTTGTCATTGCGGCCTACGCCCCTACAAACTGTAGCACTGATTCGGTAAAAGATGATTTCTATCAGCAACTTTACGATCTCCTTCGTCACAGAAGAAGCACGGATACTGTGGTGCTGGCTGGCGATCTAAACGCCCAAGTCGGAAAATTGTCCTCTGATGAGCTCCATCTGGGCGGCCAACATGGTGTGGGCTCCCGTAATGATAATGGTGAGCGATTACTACATCTGTGTGAATATGCTGGTCTCTTTCTCGCGAGCATTAACTTTCGACACAGCACCCGCAGAAGTGTGACTTGGCGGCCATCAGCCTCGGGCCAGCCATGGACGCAAATCGATCATATCGCGATCAGTTACCGCTGGAGAGGCTGTGTCCAAAACTGTCGCTCGATTTGGAGCACGAGCGTGGACTCTGACCACTCACTTGTCTTTGCCGACCTCCTGGTGCGTTTCGGTGGACGTCAGCAACGTCGATGTGAACGGATTAACACCAGCCAGCTGGCGAAGCCAGATGTTCTGAATGTGTACCAAATTGCGCTGACATCTGGGCTGAGTAAGTGCCCACTAAACACCGTTGCAGATCACTGGTCGCATATTCGTCAAGCGTTGCTGTTAGCAGGCATGTCTTCATGTGGCAAAGCAAATTGCAAAACCGGACATTGGGTCTCTACACAGTCTCTGGAACTTATGGATGCTCGCCGATGTATTCCGGCTGGAAGCGAATACAATGAGACTCGCAAAAATCTCAGGGCAAAACTACGTGCTAGCCTGAAGAAGGACCACGAAACCTGGTGGTCTTATCGTGCCCTTGAGATGAAAACCGCCGCTGCCGTTAGTAATCATCGTAAGTTATTCTGTCTGATACGGGAAACAGGCAGCAGGAAACCTGGTGTTAGCGAGACCATACGCGACGAGAGTGGGCAGCCGATCCACAGCTTGTCAAAACGCTTGGAGCGTTGAGCTGAACCCTTTGCAAGGTAATTTAACCAACCTGAGTTATCGCTTTCTTCTTCGGGTATTAAGCGCCCTTCTCCCTGGGTCGTCTCCTTGCATCCGCCCTCATGCGCAGAAGTCGAACGTGAGATCAGGCTGTTGAAATTGCAAAAGGCCGCAGGGG